GTCAGAGAGAGAGGGAGATACAGATTCTGAAGCAGGCTCCAAGTCAGCCATCAGCACAGAGCCCGATGCGGGGCTCAAACCCACAAACCACGAGATCATGACTTGAGCCAAAGTCGGATGCTTAACCAACTGAGCCACCCAGGCGCCCCTGAAGAAGTCCTAACTGTTCTCTGATCCCATCCTCCTCAGAAGCCCTCCCACCTGCTTCTGGTGTCTCGCATCTGAGGTCACGGCTCTTAGAAGTCAGGATCCTCTCTAGCCCCCTTCTCTCCGGAGGAAAGTTTGAGCAGGTGGTCGCTTGGAAACTACTAAGCCTGTGGTTTTCAAACTGTGGTCTCCAGACCATCAACATCACTTGGAACTTGTGAGGAAGGCAAAGGAATCAATTCTGCTGGGCGACCACGCGGGGGCAGCACAGGACCACTGGTAAGCACGAGCTATGCCAAGCACCCACAAATGCAAAAAGCTTCATGGCCTTTTCTGCCATGAAGTCTGGCCCCAAACCCTTCTTTTCTCCCCCCACAGCTCGAGGGACCTCTTGAGACCCTACACTCCCTTGTGTTACTGATTCGGAAATCTTCAGTGGCTCCCTACTGCAAAAAAGTCCCCCTCCAGCAACATCTCTTTTCTCCTGCGTCATGCATGTGCGCACATTGTCTTTGTATCATCCCTGGAGTCAGACTGACCTGGATTTCAATTTCAGCTCTGCCACTTACCATCTGGGTGCGACTTGGGCAAAAAACATCATTCTGAGCCTCTGTTTTCTCACCCCTGAAATGGGGACAATTAAAAAGACCCTTGGGTTGTTATGAGAGAGTGCTTGTTGATAAAGGGACTAGCCTAGGGTCTCGTGGACTGTAGGTACTCGGACCGCAGCGACCCTGTTTCCCCTTCTGCATGGCCAAGCAGGACACGCAGGGAGGGCGCACAGGCCCACATGGTCGACATGGGCGGAGCATGCTGTGGAGGGCCCCCCACTTCCTCAACGTCTTCCCTTCCAGCTGTCGGCACTCACATCTCTTTACCTGGGGCTTCCTCTGGCTGCTGGCACCCACTGTGTATAGAGCCCTGTCCAGTGGGAATAAGTAGCACCTATCTCGTGGCACTGCTTGAAGGGCCTGGTTAGTGCCCCCAGATAGAATAGGTCCCCAGACTGTTGCTGTTGGGGTGACCTCGCAGGGGCCCGGCTCATGGGATGGGTCCATGCTCTACCATCCCCGACGTCCTGCCCTTGGGCCACATGGGCTGGGTGGGGCTCACCCCCCTCGCAGACACCTAAGATGCATAGCTCAGAACTGCGCGGGGCTGGTCCTGCCCGTGGACGTGGAGGCTTTCATCTACGCGACCTGGTGTAAGGGCCTCCACCACACACTCCCCAGCCTGCAGCGCGAGTCTCCCCCGCCCAGGCTGTCGTGCTGTCCGTGCAGGAAGTCCGGGGCAGAGCCTTGCCCTGCTGCTTTGCAAAAGTTAGCAGACTGACTGTAGTCACGACCGGCTACACAGTTTATGGAGCCCGTGCAACAGGAACATGCAGATTTTCTTGTTCAAAAATCATGAAGAGTTTCCAGACGGGGACAACGGAGCAGTAAGCCAAGCGTGGGGGGCTGCGTGACCGCACGGGCTGCACGGCCTAGAGCGGGCTCTGACTGCAACCCTCATCTTTCAGGGCGACTGAGTTTGTCAGACCTTTGCTCGCACCCTGGAGCTGCTCAGGAAGGATGCCCGGGCACAGACTGGAAATGTGCCCCTTTCCCAGTTTAGGACAGCTGTTGGCTCAGAGATGCTTTGAGCCGGTGTTCTCGGCACAGCTGGCCTTTCTCACTGGCTGCACCCCATGGTTCCTGGGGTCATGACAGCCTGTGGGGCCTCTTCTGCCTCTGACCTGCGTTTGCTGTGTCTTCTCTGGAGTCTGGGGTGGATCCCTTGAGCCCCTTTCCTCTTCCACGTCTAATCATTGGACCTTTGGATTTAGGTCTTGGCAGCCCCTGGGGAGCCCCCAGACATTCCTCGTGCGCAGGGTGCTCTAGGCTCTCTCTAGGCCCAGCTTGTCCACCTACTTCTGGGCCCCAGGAGGCTGGGTTGCGTGGCTGCTCCAGTGGGCTGCCTGCACACTGACTTCTGGTTGAGTGTTTGAGTGTCACCAATGGGAGCAGTAGCCGGAAACTGGAGGGAGGGAGGAAGGAGGGGGGTGGGGCGTTTATTCCACCAGCTTCCCCCCAGAACCCCCTCCCCCCTGGCTGGGTCCCAGTGCCAGGTCACAGCTCCTGTCGGCAGCTTCCTCCAGATTGCCCTCCCTGCCTCTAGGGTCTGACTTTCCTGGCTAACAGCTCCTTCCCCTTGGCTCGCCGGCCCCAGCTAGTCACAGAGTCCAGTTGTCACTACTGCATTTTCTCCCTGAGATGTCCTGATACCCCGCCCAAGCCTCTGTAAATAGTCCCTTTATCAAACTCTCCCAGAATTACTGCGATTTGAATTTGCGTCTATTTCCTTCTGGGACCCTGACTGGTTCATGGATCTCTGTCTCTGTAGCACTCCCAAGTCTATCTTTGTAGCTCCCTGTCCCTGGGGACAGCCAGGTCAGGGGCTGAACGTCCAGGAACTCAGGCCGGGGGCCTACCCCTGGCTTCTTGGAGGGGTGGGGACCTTCCCTCGTGGTTTCCAAAGATGTCCACCAGAGCCTCCATCTTCAGTTAATTGGGAACCAGGGACCTAGACATTGTGTCCTTTCCTTCAGCTTCAGGGCCTGATGGAGGCAAGTTTGGTTCCCTCAATTGCACCCCACCCTCAGAGAGATCCCTTTTGATCAGGCCACCAGGTACTCAGACAAGCAGAGAACCGGATAACTAGACAACCAGGTCGCCGGACAGCCAGGTGTGCAGATGTGTAGATATCAACCCCTGCTGAAGTGTCTAGCTGCGGGGTCTGCCGCTCTACCGTCCCCACACCCCCTTCCCTGGGAACAGATTCTCCCTTGGGGAGCCCCTCTTCTCCTCCTGTCAGCCCCCGAACTTAGCTTTGACCTAAGCCGATCAGCCAATCAGGCTTTACCAAAGCTGACCCCAGGACCTTCTAACCAGGAAGGTCAAAACCCTTGTAATTTCTTCTTCTTCCCCCCACCCCCAGGTAATTGTTAGTTTCTTCTTTTTATGTATGTATGTATGCATGTATGTATGTATTTATTTATTTTACATTTCTTGTAATGGATATACTTACTCTTTTTTCCTTCATAGTTTATTGTCAAGTTGGATTCCATATAACACCCAGTGTTCATCCCAACAAGTGCCCCCCTCCATGCCCATCATCCCCCTTCCCCTCTCCCCCACCCCCATTACCCCTCTGTTAAAACCCTTGTAATTTCTTCAGTGATAGGAATGTCTTTTGTTATTCCTAACAAGTCCTTTGAATCATATGTGAGATTATGCCAATGAGGTGATTTACTCTGGGATCCTTATATCGCCTCTGGTGGGGGGGACCCTTCCCCAACTCCTATGAGCCTCTTCATCTAGTTGCTAATCTGTATCCTTTATATCAACCTGGTAATGTAAGTGTGAGTGACTATTTCCCTGAGTTTGTGAGCCATTCAACAAATTACCGGAACTGAGGAGGGGGTTGTGGGAACTCGATTTACAGCCAGTCAGTCAGGAGTTTGGGTGGTCTGGACTTGCGATTGGCATTTGAGGTGAGGAGCAGTCTATTTTCCTCTAGCTTTATTGGGATGTAATTGACGTATAACATTGAGTGTAAGTGGTGTGCAATGTGTTGATTTGATATACTTACATATGGCAAAACGATTACCACAGTTGGCTACCACTTCCATCTTGCTACATAATTAACATTTCTTTTTTTGTGATGAGGACATTTAAGATTTACTTTCCTAGCAACATAAGTGGGATCATACAGTATTTGCTTTTCTTTGTCTGGCTCATTTCACTCAGCATAATGCCCTCAAGTTTCATCCAAGTGCCAGCAAATGGCAGGATTTCCTTCTTTCTCATGGCTGAGTAATCTTTCATTTCACACACACACCACACCTTCTTTATCCACTCATCAGTTGACAGACACTTCTGTTGTTTCCTTATCTTGGCTATTGTGAATAATGCTCCAGTGAAATCAGGGGTGCAGATATCTCTTCGAGATCCCATTTTCGTTTCCTTTGGATACATCTCCAGAGGTGGGATTGCTAGATCAGATGGTAGTTCCATTTTTAAAGTTCTGAGAAGCCTTCATCCTGTTTTCCACAGTGGCTGCAGCAATTTATATTCTGAAGCGGGGGGTAGTTTTAACCTGTGGGGTCTGATGATACTTCCAGGTAGATAGTGTGGGAATTGAGCTAACTGGCAGGGTGGCCGGTGGCCACCAGAGAAATGAATTGCATTGCTGTGGGGAAACTCCCCCACATCTGTGTTTCACAGACTCTGTAAAGGGAAGAGCCCTGCTACCACTGAGTGTGAGGGGGGTCGGGAGAGAGCTGCACACACAGGAGGCCTCTCTCTGCTTGTGAGAGTCTCCCGGGAGGCCTGGGTTCAACCCTGGGTTTGTTTTGGGCTGGGTCCGTGGACGTGTCCCTCCTGCTCTTGGGCTCTGGCTTCTCGGGGGTAGCTGTGGGGAGACCTTCTTGCCCTGCTTTGCCAGTGGGTGGGACCGAGCATGAGCATCATTCCCTGGGAGCTGCTTGCTGGGTGTGAAGGCCGGGAGCAAAGCCGACCCAAATCTGGCTCTCAGAACCCAAGTCCTTGTGGCCTCCAGGAGAGGAGCCAGGGCTCTCCTGCCCCCATTCTTCATTCAGAAAGCTCAGGCTCCCAGCCAGGGCAAGAGCCTCATGCTGTGGCAGCTAAGCCTTCTCTGTTCTGGCTTCCCCTTCTTTCTCTTTGTTCTTCCCCTAAACTCTGCCCCAAATTGGTGTTGTGCAGGGAGCCGAGCACATGATGTTAATGACCATTTTATCAGGAAAGCCCATCTGCTGTTGTAACTCAGCCTTTAGTCGCTGGGACTTGCTTGTCCCTAATGCATAGAGCTGTGATCCTCAAAGTAGGGACTTCAGACCAGCAGTGTGAGCATCTCTGGGGAACTCGTTAGAAATGCACATTCTCGGGCCCCATGCCAGCCCTGGAGTAGGACCCAGCAATGTGTGTTTGAAGGAGTCCCCCAGGGGATGCTCGCTCAAGTGTGAGAGCCACTTGGAGCTGCTGTGAGAACAGCATGGAACCGTTGCTGGTACAGAAGGTGCAGAAGGGGATGATCTGTCGCCTGCCTAGATCTCCTGTACCCCATTCCCCGGCTCCTGCGGGTGAGTGTTGGCTGCTAACAGTCTCCAGCTGACCCTTCTCTTCAGCATTGCCCTCTGCTGAATCTCTATGCCCAGAAATGCCTGAGAGATTAGGTACACCCCCCCCCACCCCCACCAGTAGGCCACAGCCAATGACTGATGAGAATGAGGTATAACAGGCTGGCCCCTGTCTCTAGTTGGGACGTTCTGGTGTGAATTACTCTCTAGAGCACCCCCCTGTGAATTAGGTCAAGGCTTTAATTGCTAGACCAAATTGCTGCTTATCCCAAATGCCTAGAGCGGTTGTTGGTGCAACAGGTATGAATTACTGCAAACACCCTGATGTAAAAAAGAAAATGCCAGTTGGCTTGCTTTGGGAAAATAAAAATAACCCTGGCTCTGAGGCCCTGCCTACCAAGATGACTATGCTTGGTGACTGTCCTCTGCAAGTTGGTTTGAAGTCAGCCAGGAGAGGGGAGCCTGGGTGGCTCAGTCAGTTAAGTGTCCGACTTCAGCTCAGGTCATGATCTCACAGTTCATGGGTTTGAGCCCCATGTCGGGCTCTGTGCTGACAGCTAGCTCAGAGCCTGGAGCCTGTTTTCGGATCTGTAACTCCCTCTCTCTCTGACGCTCCCCTGCTCACTCTGTCTCTCTCTCTCTCTCAAAAATAAATAAAACATTAAAAAAAAAAATTGAATCAGCCAGGAGAGCCTTCTGTTGTCCAAGGAGCTGGGGAGGCCCCCGGATTGCAGGTGCTGGTGACTATCACTGTGGCGGGGCCATTTTTCTCTTGGTCCCAAAGAATCAGCTCACCTGCCCTTGGTGAAAACATCAGAGGGACATATTTCACAGGGAAAAAAAAAACAAAACAAAACCATTCAACTATTCTCCTCCCCAACTGCCCTTCCTGAGAAGAGAAAAAGTGTTTACTTTTTGCGTTCAATGAAGGAAAAAACCAAAACCAAAACCAAAACGAAGACAAGACATGAATTAATTTTCCCAGTAGTTCCTGGCAGGTATCAGAGCAGATGGCAAGTGTGTGTGTGTGTGTGTGTGTGTGTGTGTGTGTGCGTGTGCGTGCGCGCGCGCAGGGGTGTTGTTTGTGTGTGTGCACTTAGAGGTGTGTTTACATGTGTAAGTTTGGGGCTTGGGTTCCATTACAGAGAGATAGAACCCAAGGCCAGAGGTCCCATCACCCCTCCCTCCACCCCACCCCCAGAAGGTGTCAGTCTCTCCCTCTGAGTTAGTTTTCTGTCCCAGGCCTGACATCGCTCTTACCTGCTACCCTTTTGATGCCTACTGGGAGCCTAGCAGGTGTTGCTGGACAGGACAGCGGGATGACCTGTGTGAGCTCCAACCACCTCTTTGCTTTGGCGCTTTAGGGATTTAAAATTCTGAGTTGAGAGCAAAGACAGCAAAACTTTGGTAATTTGGCCCCAAGCCTATCCAGAGGCTGGGGGTGGTGGTGAGAGAGAAGGGGAATCTAAGTAAATACAAATAAAAATATAAAAAGACCAGACAGAAATATACTAAAACATTTACAGCATCTTTACTCCCTGGGATCTGTGATTATGGGTGATGTCTATTTATGTCTTTGCTTTTATTTACATTTTTGAAACTTTCTAAAGTCACCATGAATTATGTATACAACAATGAAAAATGAAACCATGAGAATAATAATTATAATTATAAACCACATTTATTCCTTGAGTGCCAGCTTCCTTTCCTACTCCCATTATAAAAGGAAAGCTTTTATTTCCTCAACTTTGTATTATGAGAACTTCTCTGCGCACAGAAAGAAATGGAAAGAATAGTACAAAAAACACCCATGCATTATATAACATACCCCACCACCCAGGTTCAGAAGTGGTGATTTTTTTTTTGTCTTTGCTTAATCTATACGTATGTACTCCCGCCACCCCCAAGACATTTGAAAGTAAATTGTGATATATTTTACTTCTAAACACATTTGGACAAATCATCTAAGTGTAAAGATTCTAAAGACTTCAGGTGCCGTTTTCGTGTGGAATGACCTACAATCCGGTTCAGGGACAGTCAGCCCTCCCTCCCTAGGTCATTTGCCTCCACAGGATGTTTCTCTGGATTGCTTCCCCTGTCCAGATCAGCTGCAGACTCAGGGTTTATTACATGCCCCACCTCCTCCACGAAGGCTTCCCTGACATTATCAAGTAATATCCTGTTTTGTTACTCAACCCTTCATTCAACATTTCATGAGTAGAACAGCTCAGACCACGACCCAGTCCTGCTCTCTGGAAGCCTGTGGTCCAAGTGTTGGGCAGGAAACAGGCAATCAGGCAGACGGCTATGGGTACTGTGGGAGGCACCAGGACTGGGTGAGGTAGAGGAGGGGAGACTCCCCGAGGCTGGGGGTGGTCAGGGAGTGTAGTTCAGAGAGGCAGAGGGATCAGGATTGGTGGAAGGCGCCTTGGTTAAATTTTCATATTAGAGAAATTTCTCTGCCCAGCTATTCAAAAATATCGTTTGAATGAATGAACTACAGAATGGAGAATGGATTGGAGAAGGACAGAACTGGTGCCAGGTCTACCTGGGGGTATTGCAGTCATCCAGGGGATAATCACAGTGTCACCCTGAGTAGATGGAAGTGAGGGTGTTAGGGAAGTAAGCGCGGCAGGGTTTGGCTTTGCGTGGATGTGGGAGGATGAGCAAACTGGATAAAGCATCCACACTTCTGGCTTGAGCAGCTGGACCGATATGGTGTGTTCGATGAGTCAGGTAATTTAAAAAAAGAAATAGGATTTTATGGGTAGGTGGGTGGGGAAATGAGCTTCCTTCGAGTGTGTTTTGTTTGAAGTTCCTGAGGCTCATCCAAGCGAAGACATCTGATAGTTGGGAGTTTAATATGAAAGGTCAGGGGACTCATCTAGACCGAAGGTACAGATCTGTGGGGCTTTAGCAAATGCATGGCAGTTGAAGCCCATCCAGGAAGAGAGTGTGTCTTGAGAAAAGCAGGCTGAGCCCCAAACACAGAGGAACTGCCCCAGTTAAGAGTTAGAAGATGGGGACTGAAAAGGAGTGGCCAGAAAGGTAAAGAGGGAAGCCAGGACCTGGTGCCAAAGAAACCAGGAATGCTGCCAAGGAAGGAGGAAATGGCTAGCGAGTGGAATGATCCCAGGAGAGTAAGTCAGACGAGGATGTATAAAGGTCCTCGGAGGATGTTATCATTGATGAAGAGTTTCCATGCAGCAGTAAGAGCAGAAGTGAGAGCTCCAGAGGCTGGAGTGCTAAGGACAAGACAAGGTAGGGAGATATCAATAAAGGTTTACTCCTCAAGTGAGAGGGAGGAGTTGAGAGTGGGGGTTGGATGGATGGAGGAAGGGAGAGCCCTTTGAAAAGGGTCTCCCATTCTCCACTGTCCCTCAGTAATCAGCTGGGGGTGGAGGAAAGCTCTGGTGGGACATGGGGGTGGAGGAGGAATGTGGCAACTACCAAATAAACACACCATCCAAGGAAGCCAGCCAAGGCTGGGCCCAGAATATCTGGAACGGAACCCATCTTCCTTCTGAAGCAGGAAGTGGTGTTGGGAGCTGAGTTGACCATGGAATTTCCGTGCTGTGAGGATATTCCCGGTGAATGCTTTTTATTTATTTATTTTTTCATTCATGAAAAAGAGTTGGAATTAAGTGACAACCCCCCCCCCCAAACATTCCCTCCCACAGAGGAAGTGCTTAATTTAGCCTCATGTTCCCAGTTGAAAAATATCCCTGAGGTTTGGAGACTTCTGCTGGGTTGTTTGATACCCTTGACTATGGCAGGATGTTAATGCATATGGCAGGACCGGGCTCTTTGTGTCTTGATTTCAGCGGAGAGAATAAGTGGCACCATCCCAACTTAGTACCAAGGGAAGTCCTGTTAGACCACCTACACAGGATGTGGGAAGAGGTGTCAAATACCAGCTTTGGGAACCTTAAATGACCCTCCCAATGCTGGCCCATCAAAGAGGTTGGTGAGGCAGAGAGAGAGAGAGAGAGAGAGAGAGTAAAAACTTTGAATTTTTTTGGAGGCATTTTTGTTAGGGGTCTGTCTCCCTTGGGATGAGGTAGAGTCATGCTTCTCCCTTAACTAGGGTCAAATAAGAGGGGCCTCAATAGTACCACTCACAAAACTGAGCACATGCCCCTGGAGCTTGCAGGGCACAGTAGAATGGCCTTGGAACCACCCAAGAAATTTGTTTGTCAAAAGACTGTGACTAGAGCTGACTGTCTGGGATCTAAACGGAAGTGTGATCATGTCTGGGAAGTAACTACAGCCCCAGAGATGGTGGGTCAGAGAGGCTGGTCTTCTTGTGCCAGATGTGGACACACATAGGAAACAAAGAGGATTGTTCAGATCCCTCCCCAAAGGGTTACCTGATGTGAGGAGGTGACCGCAGCTTGAGAACCCTCTAGATGAACCATCCCAGATACTTGGGTGTCTATAAGAAGTGGCTTTTAAAAGGTATCCTGAGCAGGAGGTAGGCTGGGCTCCCAAGGCTTTCTCAAGCATTTATAGGAAGGGGTCTTGGCTGTACAGTGGGCATCTGTCCAACAGCAAAGATCAGAATCCAGTGGTTGCTTTCACAGAATACAGCTGTGATACTGTAATTCATCATAAGAAATATATATTTGGTCTTTGTCCCTGGTTTCTAGCACAAAGCTCCTAAAAGTCTTGGAATTTCTCAAGTGATAAGAGCAATAAAGGTATGTTGGTTCATAACCTTTTAGTCTCACCTGAGTTTATATTAATGAGGTGATTTTTGGAAAGCCCCAAGGATGGGAGCTGGTTGCCAGGGAACCAACCATGAGATTAGAGGGTTGGAACTGTCAGTTCCTGCCCCCCTCATACTCCCTGGGAGCAGAGAGGGGCTAGAGATTGAGTTTATCACCAGTGGCCAATGATTTGGCCTATGTAATCAATCAGGCTTATGTAATAAAGCTTCCATGAAACCCCAAAAGGACAAGGTTAGGAGAGCTACTAGGTTGGTGAACACATGGAGGTGTTGG